AATAATTAGATGATGTTTTAATAAAATTACTTTGTGTTGTAAAAGTTAATTTATAGTATAATACTTACTCTCTGGTTATTATAAAGAAATAATTAGATGATGATTTAATAAAATTGCCTTGTGTTGTAAAGTTAATTTATAGTATAATACTTACTCTCTGGTTATTATAAAGAAATAATTAGATGATGTTTTAATAAAATTACTTTGTGTTGTAAAAGTTAATTTATAGTATAATACTTACTCTCTGGTTGTTATAAAGAAGTAAAAGGTAAATTTATTTAACTAGATGATGTTTTAATAATAATTATTTTGTAAAAGTTAATCTATAGTATAATACTTACTCTCTGGTTATTATAAAGAAATAAAAATTTTGTTTAATTAGATGATGTTTTAATAAATTATTTTGTGTTGGAAAAGTTAATTTATAATATAACACTTACTCTCTGGTTATTATAAAGAAATAAAAAATAAATTTATTTAATCAGATGATGTTTTAATAAAATTACTTTGTGTTGTAAAAGTTGATTTATAGTATAATACTTACTATCTGTGGAATAAAAAATAAATTTATTTGATTAGGTGATAATTATTTTGTGTTATAAAAGTAAATTTATAATAAACCTTCTTTATATTTTTCCTCTGCAATTTCAACAGTATTTTCAACATTGTTTCCTCTATCTAATTTAAACAATTTATCAATAATGAATCAGTAATCAGTAATTTTTTAAGTAATTAATAATTTTTTTTAATTTACCATCAAGCAAATATCCAAAATCTTCACCACCAAAAAAATTATTTAATGAAGATGTGTTAAAGATATCACCTAAGTCAGTTCCAGAACTCTAATGATAAACGGTATATTAAAAGTTGTCATGACAATTCTATGTAATAATTTGTTGGTAGATTAAATTCAATTTCAAATGTGGGTATATTTATGAAATGAGAAAATTCACCTCTTCACTATTCATCATTTCTAATTTTCTAGTGTCTTTGCTATAAAATCCTACTTCCATAGGAGAACCAACCATTGCCCATAAAATACGAGAAACGTTTTGATTTCCATCAAATCTATAAAACAAATAAATTTTTTAATAATATACTATCATTAATATAAGGGTAATATTATATGTATTAGATACTTTTCAATGATTGTTGAAAATCCATATTGATCAAAATATTTAAATTTGATGATAATATCAAAGCACTTTTCAAGATTTTCATTAAAAATGGTTCCATAAATTTGATATTTATCACTTTTCAAAGGAGTTTTAAAATCAACCCTATAGTATTTTATATTTTTATCTTCAATTTTAATTGAATCCATCATTAATATTTGATTTTTGAAAAGAAGCTCAATTTCTTTTTGTAATGATTCTTCTAAAATTTTATATAGTGGAATTAAGTCAGCATAATAAATTACATCCCAAATTTTCAAATTTTCAGGCATTATTTTTATCCACTCAATTACAGAATTTCTCTTTGTTGCAAATCCATTTATGTTAAAAAAAATTTTATTATCAAAATTAAAATCATCATTAATCTTCCCATGAATCTCATCCCATTCTATTAATATTTCATCAAGTTCTTTGTTGTTATTTATGCTTAATGGATCTATTTTTTTTTCAATTTTTCTTTCTGTGAATAAATTTTCTAAGAATAAAATAATTTAAGTCAATAATAATATATATAAAAAAAAAAATTAAAGATCAATGAACTATATAAATTTATAACAATTATCATTATACCATTCAAATCCAAATGTTGTGATCTTGATAATTTTCCACCTAATATAATTTTTTTACATAATAAATGGCCATATTTACTAAATATAATTTCAAGTTCATGATAAGGATTTTCTGTATTTAAAGCCTTTTGTACAGCTTTAGTTAATTTATTTGATGGTATAAAATTTTCAAAAATCAATTCAATTTGTTGACTACTAATCTCATAATGAATTGTTTGTTTAAATTTTAAATTCCATGAATCTTCTACATCTAAATTCCATGAATCTTTTACTTTTTGTCCAGATTCTAAATTCCATAAATCCTCTACATTTTGTTCAGATTCTAAATTCCATGAATCCTCTATATTCTGTTCAGATTCTAAATTCCATGAATCTTTTACTTTTTTTTGTTCAGGTCCAAAATTCCATGAATCTTTTACTTTCAAATTAATAAAAGGAACTTCTTGACTAAATGACTTTATCATTTCATCATTAATATCTTTAATATCACTTTTTAAAAGATAAGAATGTAATAATGAATTTGTAATTGTCAAATTGGTTTTTATAGAATCAGTTGGATTGATTTTATTAATTTTTGGATTCGTTGAAGAACTAAAAGTTTGGATAGGTTGGACATTTCCTTTTTTCACACCTCTTTCATCAATAACCAATCCATATTGAAGTTTAAATTTCTCAATCCAAGACGGTAGAATTTCATCATCATATGAATTTAAATCATCAAGACTTTGTTGTTTTTTTGAACTCATTCCACTTGATGTATAAAGACTGGAAAATCTCTTTATATTTTATAAAAAAACTTGATTACTCAATTAATACTAGACCAATTCAACAGCCACGTTTTGAAAAAATGCATAAAAATGTTGGAAATAATTTATAATTTATAATAATAGAGTATCTTATTTTAAAAAAAAAATAAAAAAAAATAAAACAACTTTGAATTAAAGTTATTAAAAAAATGGCATTTACAAATTTAGTAATATCATCCTATTTATTAATTAAAAAAAATTTTCTTTTTTAAACATGAAAAACATTAAAAACATTGTTATAAAAATCATTGACAAAGAATTCAATCAATTGCTTAATGTTGACCTAAAATTATCAAAAGTTCGTATATTTATTTTAAAAAATCCTAAAATTCGAAGTCATATCCGTTACCCTGAAAATACTTTAATCTTTCAACATAACAATATTAATATAAATATAAACAAAGAAAGCAAAGCTTTGTCAGAGATTCTTGTTGGTAATGAATGTAATGAATTATTTATTACATTCACAAACAATGAACCCGCTGATGTTTCATTTCAAATTGAAGAAGAAAAGCATTTTGAGGAGTTACCTTTAAATATGAAATTGGACGAAGTTAGATCATTCGTTTTAAATAAACGTTTAGGCTATGATAATTATTCATTTATAAATTCAAACCATGGTGAAATAGAAGTAAAAAAAGAATATAAGTATACTTTAGATAAAATAAAAATAATTAATGAAAATGATGAAAACATTATAAGTTTAAAAAAAAAAAACGAACTTAATTGGTTAAAGTTAATTGAATCTTGTGAGTTTGGATTTAATTTAACAACAGAGGGAACTAAAAAGGCTCCCAGGAAAGCAATTACAATTCATGATCCCAGAACCGAAAAATCTAATCCACGATTAACGGGGTTCGTTAAAGAATGTAATAACGAACGGGAAAATTTATATGGACGTAACATAGTTTTTGGCGGCAAAATATTATCACCATTGCTATCATTTGGTATGGATTTAAAAAAGTCAATTGGATTTGAAAAGAAATTGGATACAGCTACTTCATATTCAATTCAGAAATCAGAATACGCGTCAATTGAATTTACAGAATCAAATTATTATTTAAAACCTGAATTTGAAAATGATGTTGAATCTGCAGTTAATCCAAAATTATCATTAGAAGAAAAACGTAAAAAACTTGAGGAAATCATTGAAAATTATGGTCAATTTATATCCAAAAAAATTGTTTTTGGTGGTAAAATTATAAAACAACGTACAAGTGAAGCAAATAAAGGTAAATTCAACCCTTTTAATATTATAATATAATATTATATACATATTATTTTTAAAAAATTTAAAAATAATCAGCGATTAAATTATTTTGTTAGTTGGAGTATCATCTTCAAATACAAAAGGTGCCAAATCAAATATAAATCCTCTAGGAATTGTCAGTGTATCTGCATCTGCAAATAAAACAAAGTCAGTAAATGATATTACAAGATCAAGTAAAACTGAATCATTTGAACATACAATAGGAGGAAAAAAAAGTGCTCGTTTAGATGATTGGTATGAATCTCTTCGTGATCCTGATCAGTGGGATATAATTGAATACAATGATATTACACCTATATTTGAAATATTACCAGATGATTTAAAAGAACAAGTATTGAAAATCTTTGGCCAAAAAATACTTGATGGTAGGTGAATTACATTACATTTGCTTATCATTATCTTAAAATATTTATTTCAGATAATTATTTACTAATTTACATCTACATATGAATACATTGATATAAGTTAAAACTTGCAGAATTATCTATGATACTGAAAAAAAAAAAAATAAGGCTTATGTTCATAAATTAGAGCATGATATTCCAGATATTGAAAAGTGTCAAATATTTTCAACAATAATGGAAGAAAATAAAGATGGGAGTAAAAGCAAAAATAAAAATTTGTTTAGTACTAGAGTTGAATATATTGGGAAAAAAAGTCCAGCAATTGTAATTCACAAAATTAATAAAGATAAATCAAGGGATAAACATTACTTAAAAATTAGTTATATGATCATTGGATATGGGTTTAGATCTAAACTTGGTTTAGATGTTAAATTCATTGGTGAAGAAAAGCAAATTAAACGTGATAATAATAGATTTATTGCAGAAATTGAAAGACCAACAAATGAAGGGTCAATAATTGGATCTTGTGTGATTAAATCATATCAACATCCAACTAATCCAGAGGATTCAAAAATTATCAGTTTACATTTTCATCCATCAGATAAAAAAGTCTGTATTCACACTTATGACCTTAATACCAAAGAAATAATTGAACCACCCTTGAATGATTGTTATATTCATTATAGGTAAATGTATACTTGATTATTTTTTTTTTTTTATATTTGATAAATAAGCATTTAAAAATAAATATTAACTTATTATTATTACTATTATTATTATTATAAAAGTGCATTTGAATTCTCAGGATCTGGTGAACCTTATGGTAAAACTAGGCTTACTTTTAACTATGATAAAAAATTTTTTAAAATTAATAAAAACTCTATGTGGATAAAATATGACAACTGTACACAAAATCAGTCGATTTTTATGAATCTAATATTTGATTGTACTAATAATCAACATGAACCAGTAGCAAAATCAATAGTAAATGTAGTATTTAATCCTAATGTTATATTTTCAGCACCTTGTGAAAATACTTGTATTTCAGGGAATGATTCTTTCAGCTTTTTTAAAATTATGAAATAGAACCCCACTGGTGATCCAAAGTAAGGTTTTTATAAAAAATCAAATTTATTGGAAAGGGTTAAATCAGTGGCATACAATTTTTTTTTGTCCCTTTCTTTCTGGTTCATATGTTCAATCAATATTAAATTTAGTGTTAGTAAATAATATATTTATTTTGTTAAGTGTGTATTAATTTATTCAACGATATAACTTATAAATGTAATATATAATAATAATTTATAAATATAAATGTAATATAATAATAATAATTTATAAATATAAATGTAATATAATAATAATAATAATAATAATAACAATAAATTTCCGAGGCTCTGGATATATAGAATTTAGTCATGTTGTGTGAGTCAAAAACAAATCGCGTGAATTTGAAATTAAAATTTTGGATGAATACAAGATTCTGATTGCATAAATACCAACAGAAACTTCGCACTTTCAAACATTTTGAACAACATTAGAGAATTCACTCGCATCTTAATCCTTTTTGTATTATTTACAGGAATTCCAACTTCCAAACATTTTAATACCATGGGCCTTTTTTAATGCTACATAATCTTACTTTGTTGTTGCTCGCCAACTTCTATTGCTTTGTTCATAAGTAAGGTGTGATTTTTAATTTGTCAAATTCAATTCATAATAACAAAATTCTATCATCGGAACGAATATCAAAGGGTTACTTGTATTCCAAATGGTTTCGTGCCAGCCTTAGTTTAAATTCTAGCATTAGAAGAAATATTTGAAACAAATTATTATATTCCCAAAGTTTTTATTAAAACACCAAACTCGTTCATCTTATTCCGTTGTGCAATAAAAAATGTTGTTTAAATCCGTTTTCCAAATAAAAGTAATCATGGATTTTCTAAAACAACTAGAGATATACGGATGAAAAGAAAAAAGAGCATCACAACTGAGTGATTAATTTAAAAATCATATTCTTAAAAAAACAAAAAGAATTAAAAGATATCAGAATTTCAGGAAAACCAAAGATTGTCAAAGGATGGTCTTCAAGAACTATTGTTTCTAAAGAATGCGAAATAAATGTCTATGGGCCAATAGATCTTGATATAAACGAACAAT